CAGCGAATTTCGCGAGCGACAACCAATAGGAGTGAAGAGTCTGTCAGTGGCGCTCACACGTCACCGTCTCGAGTGCAGGCTAGACAGGACAGATTTCCTGAGCGATTTCACTGTTTTATATGATTTTACTGTAACCACATGCATGGATATAAAAAAACATGATGCGTAGAAAAGAAACTGTTGGCTGTGGAAGTGAGTATGATGCATACATTGATGGTTTGAGTTGTTATTTATATGATGCAGTGAGCAGTTTAGCTCCAGTTAATGATTTAATGCACGAGCACTGCTGTAGTTTATATAACAACACTCTCCAACAGCAGAATGCTACTTTTATTTCTTTTAAGTCTAATTCCTAGTCATAATAGAATGACATCTTAGTTTTACCGGCAATATACAGTTTGTGATTGCATTTTATATGTCCAGATATGTCCAGACGTGCAGTCTACCAATAACATTAGAGCCACAGCAGTAGGAACGCCCACAAGCGTCTTCACAGCACAGAGTCTAGCGACATACAGCGGAAAAGTCGCTGGCAGTGTGAACGGGGCTTATGCCGAGTTCACACTTCACGATATTAGCCCGATTTTTCACTCGCCGACAGGTTTTGTGAAATCGCCGACAAATGCCCGACATCGGAGGCAAATCGGTGCTCGTTCACGCGAGTGACAATCACGCAGTGTGAATTATCAAAGACGCGATCTGAGGGAATCGCCGACACGTCGATTCACAATCACGCAGCGTGAAAACAACGGTGATCCGACGAGTGTGAAAATCGTGCCGTGTGAACTCGGCATTAGACTGTGTGTGTTGTCTGTCTGTCTCCCCTCCCCGCACCACGCCCACTTTTTTAGCATTTTTTAAAATGGTGTTGAACTAACCAGTGCTGAAACAGGGGCTTTCGTGACCCTGTAATGCCGAGTTCACACGGCACGATTTTCAAACTCGTCGGATCGCCGTTGTTTTCACACTGCGTGACTATCTGGGGTAGCATTCAGTTGCTGCTGTGTTCACACTGCACGATGGATCGGCGACAGGGGGTTTCACACTGCATGACTTCACAACAGGAAGAATCGCCGACAGCTCTGTCTGGTCCGCAAACTACGTTTCACAACAAAACACACGCGAGAAGT